GTGGAAGACGCTGTGTTGGGCCGTCGGTGTAGCTGTGGATATACATACCTCTCGCTTGTTGTTGCGTAGCTAGGTAGGTACCTAGTCCGATCGGTGTTCCGGCGGTCGGGTTGCGAGCGAGGACACTGGACGCTGGAAAAGGTCGAGACCCCCGCGACCCCTGGCGAACACCCCCACCCCTCCGCCCGAAATTCCCGCTTTTAGCCTGATGAGTGGCTTGCTTTTTTCCCTTCAGCGATTGTGGCGGGTTATGAGAGTTTGCAAAGATGGGATTCTTTACGCAGGGGGGATTTGGGGGGGTTGCCGAGGATGATGTGATTGATTCACTTGCTGGGCAGGAAGGCGTTTTTGGTTACTGGTTTGGGATCCCTGGATGCCAGTGTGGTGTTTGTACCAAATGACTGGGCCGCAGCGGCGGGGAGAGTGGAGGGTTTGGTGGTCGGTGTGTCGCGAATCGGAGGGGTGCCGGTCGGTGAGGAGTCGCGGGAGGTACATGATGGGGGGTGAGTGGTGAGGAGGTAATAGGCAGAGCGATTTGACTGATGAATCGAAGAGATGAGTTACGTTTCCCTCACGATGCCCTCTGGCTCAGGGAGTCGCATCGGTTGTAGGGTCTTTCGTCGTGTCTGCCATCACCAGCTTGTGATGTATGTTGTGGTGAACAAGCCCTTGTCGTTGTATGTCTGCGACCGGCTGGATGAGGAATCTAGACCGTGAGTTGAGTTGCGTCGCCAAACGTAAGTTTTCAGCCTCATTGAGAGTTGTTCCGTGGTCAAGGTGTATTGGTCATCGTGATCTCCGTCCTTGTCGGCCGGCCCTCGCTAACCCTCATCATCACGTATCGTCCTTCATCCGTGAACCCGGTTTGATGAATATCGACGGTAATGAGCCGACTTTCTGATATGATGAAGCTCAAACCTTTTTACATGTCCTCTCATGTAAGCTGTCTTGCTGTCTCTGGAAGATGGTATCGGGTAGATGGCGGGGGCAAAGGTGTCTTGGTCGGCTCATCAGCTTGAGGCCGCCCTACCGTCGAGCACGGGTATACGCTATCAGTGGTGTTACAGAACAACGGGCTCAAAATAGCTTGAGTCGTATATCTGAAAGAACTCACCTGTACGGAGCAGAGCTTGCGTTGCACCAGCGAGGCGTGGAGGGGATGAGCGAGAAGGGTGTCTCCTCGAAGACGGGGCGTGAGCTTTGAAGGCAGAAGAAGGGTGGAAAATAGAGCCTGAACCATTGATTATCCAACGGGGTATGAAATACAGTTTTACTTCAGGTCGGGAAATGTGAAGAACATGTACTTGCCGTTCTGCTTTGAGGTGGGATGCTGCATAGGTGTGTGGTGTATGGCCGAGGCAGATCGGTGCGAGAAACCCTTGTATTGGGCCAGAGGGTAGGAAAGGATGTAACTTAAGTTCCTAGATCGTGACAAGAGCTCATACAGCATAGTTCTTGAGAGATTCAATGTGGATCTGATCATAGTAAGTGACGTTGATGTTGGAAGTTCGCTGAACAACGTGTTTCTTGTTTCAATTTCAACCGGACACAAACTAAAGGGAAAAAATCACAAATATACATCAAGACCTCAAACATCAATCAATTTCGGTAAAAACTCGTAATTAGACAGTAAAGTCTTATTTCCACCCTGATTTTACCTGCAAACTGCTTCGTGGCGCTTGCTTTTCCGGTTCAACCGTCAGGTCTCATCTCTTCAACACGCTCATCCACGCCATCCACACCACACCGCGACCATCTATCTAACTTCCCACTACAGTGTATCACTTCATCATAAACACACATAAAAAACCGCTCAAATGAACATTCAAACAATACTTTCAGCTCAGCTCCTAGTCATACCCCCTTCCGCAGCCTCACCTATCCGCCGCGCAGACGTCGGGCATCGGACTGACCAGCCCCACACCGGCCCCGTCTCCCCGCAGCCCTAACATCTCGCCTGCATAATCGCCTCCCCGGCCTTCACCTCCATCGCTCATCACGAGTCATCGCGCCGATGGTTTAGTGGTAAAATTCTCCGTTGCCATCCAGCAGCGTCGGGGAGCCGGGGGTTCGATTCCCCCTCGGCGCAAGTTTTTGTATTTCGCGGCTGTGGGTGGTGATTGTTTTACTCTGGAGCTGAATTTTTGTTGTTTTCTGGGTGTTGGTAATGTGCGGAGGAGACCCACTTGCCTCTGTGTGTCTTGAGATGAGTGGGTGTGACTGAGTGAGAGTTATTTTGTAGATTGGAGTGAAAATGTAAGCTGCGTCGCTGGGTGGGAGTGATATTGCTGAATTGCATGATGACGAAGATCGTCACAGGATGACATTCATTGCTTAATTATCTGACAGCGTGAATGGAGATGGACCGAAGAGAAGCTCACCTCTTGACATTATGCTGAGCCCTCACTGTAGTTCCGACCAGTTGTTAAACGCAATGAGCACCTCAGTCAGTGTCTTTCCAGCTCAATATGACTTTCACAGGATGTAAAGTGTCACTAGCCCCTGATTACTTCCTAGAGTCTGCAGATAACACAGCTACCGTTAGACGTCATCTCTTGGGAGATCAAATGACGGAAGACAACCATACGTGCATCGTCAACCCTCCCTTCTCATAAGTATCCTCACACTTTCACTCTAGCCATGCCGAACTCATCCAGCATAACCCATCGAATGAGAGCAAATGCAGACGTCTCACATCGCAACCAGACAACTCCTGCAATTCAAAGTGCAAACCCATCCAAGCTGGAAAATTCCCCACAGCCCCGTTGTTCATCGGCCCCGTCGTCCGCACGATGTGCCCTCGCTTCTTGTCCTCACCCACCGCCTCGCCGATCATAACACGCTGTCTTCGTGGCTCAGTCGGTAGAGCGTTGGTCTCATATTATTCAATATGACTCTGTGATCAGACAGAGACATCCAAAGGTCGAGAGTTCGAGCCTCTCCGAGGACAATCTTTTGCCGGTGGCGGCGAACCGTCAAATTCTTTTTTCTGAGCGGTGCGTGGGCTTGGAGGGGCCCTGTCATGGCGGGGTATCTTGCGGACAGCGCGGTCAGGTTGGCACCAGGGCGTGCAGAAACTGCGTAGCAAAGATGTGACTGGATGTTGTCTTGCTTCTGAATGCCTCTATAGAATGCCATCAAGCTCTCATCTTATTCTCCATACGCCGACCAACAAGCCCAGTCCGAGTTTTCAACCTCTTTGACAGTGCCCCGCACCCCGCGCACTGAGTGCAGTGTGCTCTCCAGCGACCCCACCATCAGCCACAGCAGGGCAGAACACCACCACTCACTCATCACTCACTTACAGCCTGATATTCACATCTCAAATCTTAGACGAACGCCCCTTCATCGAACCTCTTAAATCATCTCTCACACACTTCCTCACAATGGCAACGAGGATACCGCACCTCCTGGAGCCCTACCTCGCCCTCCCGCCGGAGTGCGCGCAGATCCTGCTCACCAGCGTCCTCGGCGCCAGCACGAACTGGCTCGTCCTGCGATACCTCTACTCCTTCCTCCGCCGCCCGACAGAAGACGCGCCAGCGGACGACACGCGCGTGGTCCTGGTGAGCTTCATGCGGGACTTTGCCTTTTGGAAAGAGGGCGCGGGCAGATTGGTGCGTCTCCCATTCCTGCAGACCTCTGACATGCTTCAAGAGTCCATATCTCAGTGAAGGGACAAGCAGCATGCCTAACTAGACAAAACAATAGGGCCTCGACCTCGAAACCCTCGGACGGAGCGGGAAATTCGTCTTCGTCGACGGGCTGAGCGGGCTCTTCTCCGACGCCACGCCGCCTCCGACCAAGGGCCGGAGGACGCTCCGCGGCGCGAAGATACCCGACGTCCAGCGCGAGCTCGAGGCGGCGGTCGCGGACGTGAGCGGCGGCGGCGGTAAGGTGGTTTTGGTAGTCGACCAGCCTGATTTCCTCCTCGCCGCGACCGGGGAGGAGGTCGGCGGGCTGGTGGTGAAGAACATGCTGCTCGATTTACAAGAGGTAAGGTCACAATCACTGTCTTCTGGATGAGTCACGCTGACGCGGCGAGCAGAAGGTGCACGCCTCGGTTGTGACCGTTGCGGCGGACGAGCCGCTCATCGGCGCGCAGGCGACGACGTTGGAGAAGGAGCATGCGAGTTTCGTGCTGGGGCTGGCGCACGCTGCGGAGATGGTGGTCGCGTTAAGGCTGCTGGACACAGGGACGGCGAGGGATGTGAGTGGTGTTTTGAGGGTCACCGCGGGAGGGAACGGGGACGGGGAGAGGACGGTTGAGGAGGCGGAGTTGTTGTACTTTGTGGGTGGTGACGGCAGCGTCAAGGTGTTTGGACGGGGTCAGTGAGGTTGGGTGGCTGAATTTGAAAGTTGATGTCCAACGATCTTACGAGATTTAGACATACGCGAAGGGAACGCAAATAGATGGGGGAAAGAGCATGAATCAAGCCGTGAGTTCAGCATCACGCTTCAGACAACATGGAACATGCACACGAGAACGCCTTTGGGATTAGCATCACGCAATACCGTAGTTGCGTGGGATCACGGCACCGAGCAGCCAGAGGCCGGCTCTCCATATCCATATTCCATGCGAGACCTGTTTCCCCATTCGCCCACGAGAGGTATCAAACGCATCAAACACCCGTTGCCAAGATTGCTCGTTTGGTTCATGATTGTCTTTTTTGTCTTGAACTTGTCTGGCCTTCGCTTGGGCAACCAAGCAGCGGAGCGCGAGGGGGAGAACGCATGAGGGTGAAAAAAGACAAAAATATTGTTGATGCTTTCTCTTCTCGTTGGTAAAAGAATTCGTTTCCCAGAAGCCCATATCCCGTTGCGAACTGTGCCGTGCGTGGGAATTGATCCGTTTTTATCAGCTCACGCCTTTTTGCTCCCCCCCTTGATTGCCCGAATGCACAGATACCCCCATGTCGACACCCTTTACATTCCCATCGTCGAAGAAGTTAACGCATCGAATAAACCGCTCGGAGGAAAAAAGGTTTTTGGTTCTTCGTTTAAGCCGAGGCGGGGACGGTAGAGCCCTTGGGGACGCCGGTCTGGAAGCCGTTCTTGAAGCGGCGGGAGACGTCCTTCATGTAGCGCATGCGGCCGGTACCGTTGGTCTTTCTGCGCTTGGCCTTCTCGGACCAGTTGTCTGCATTGGTTCCTAGGTCAGCATGTCCGTCCTCGGTAGTTGGGGGTTGTTTGTTGATGATTGAATGAGGGAATCTCGATTGGTGGTGTTTCGGAGAGGCGTCGTCGGGGATTGTGTGGGAAAAAACGTACACTTGCGGGTCTTGGCCGAGGGGTAACCGCAGGAAGAGCAGGTGTGCTTCTGGACGTGAAGAGAGCGGCGACCTAAACATCTCGTCAGCCTGGACGTCGCCGGAATTTCGTGGGAGGAGTCGCGCTCCTCCCCCGATCCGTTGGTTTCGACTTACCGCAGCGACGGCACAGAACGTGCGTCTTGTTGTGTCTCTTACCAAACGAGGAGGTACCCTTCGCTGCAGGCGACTGTTAGCATTTCCGTCCCATCGCGAAATAAACACGAAAAGTCGTCTGGCTCGTTCGATGCCGATTGCAACGACGATGACGGCAATCGCAGGGCGTCACGTACTCATCTTGGCGGTATTCGGTGGTCGACGATGGTGGTGCGGTGGTTGCTGGTGCGGTTAGTTGGTTTGCGGAGGAATCTTGAGAAGCGTCTCGCGGTGTCAAAATTTCGAGACCCTAGCCGAGCGCACACAATTTGGTCGACTGGGGCTTTTTTGCCGTCCTCGGGCGGCAGAACCTCGGGTGGGCACCACGGTCACATGACCCGGGCTTCTCGATAGGTGGTGACGGTCGTGGCCAATCAGCTGAATGTTGGGTGCGCATGGACCACTACATGATTTTGAGGGGCCTCGGCGGGCCGCAATGCAGATGCGAGCGGTGCCACGCGCATACCTAGCGTTGTCACTGTGAATATGGTGAAAGCCATGAATGTTGTGAGCCTTGAATCAATTCGAGTGTCTTTACTCCATCCAACGCCATCCATTCCGAGCATTCCAGGTTGCCTCGCGGGTATACGAAAAATCATGACATCGTCCACTAATCTACCAAACATGCATAGCACTGCTCCTCACCCCTGAATATCCAGCATCTGCTTGAGTGCTGCCTCGCTGGCTCTCAACCACCGCCCCCGCTCCTCGAGGTCGTCTTCATCACCGCCCGCGCCCTCTTTTCTCCTCCGCGCCTCTTTCGCCGCGGCCTTGCTATTCTGCCTCTTGGCCTCTAGTGGTTGCAACTCCGCCTGCAATCTCTCCATCTCCTTTCTCTTCCTCGGCACCTTAGCCTGCAACTGCTCCAGCTCGCGGTCCAGCTGCTGCTGCTGCCTCTTCTTATCGTCCACCAACTCGAGCGTCTTGGCCAACGGCAGGTTCATCTGCGGACTCTGCCCCGGCGCCTGCGACTCCTTCAACTCCGCGACCTTTTCCTCCAACTCGAGGATCTTGTCCGGTAGCTCCTTGAGCTTCGCCGTGTCCAGCTGCACGCTCTCGTACCGTTTCGCGAGCTCCTTGCCCTTCTTCTCCAGCTCCGTCACCATGTCCGCCACCTCCACCTTGAGCGCCTTGAGCTGCGCCTTGGCCTCAAGGTTCGCCTTCTCCAGCTCGAGGTTCTCCTGCGGCGTGACAATCACGGGCGGGTCGCCGACGATGGCGCGGATGAACTTTTCTTTGGTGACCTGCTCGACGTAGGAGAAGCGCAGCTTGGCGAAGAGCTCCTTGTAGTGCGCCAGGTCGGCGTCGAGGCTGTCTGGCGTCGTCCCATCCTGCGAGGCGTTTGATGCATCCGAGGTTCGTTGTCGTGATTCTTGCGTGCCCGCGCTGGATATTGGTTCGCTGAGCTTGATGATTGAGATTTCGTGGTTCTCGTTGAGGTCTTCAATCTTGCGCAGGACCTGCGCCGCTTTTGACGCGTCCATTGTGAAAGTTGATTGACTATGTGATTTTTTCACTTCGTGTGTCGCGTATGAAGGGACGAACTCCTAAATCATAAGGTTGCTGGCGCTGTCCGACAGGATGCAGGGTCCAGTGTGTGGTGACGTTTGTTTACTTGCGTCCGAAATGGGATATGCACAGACCAAGTTTTCTATCGTTATCGCTATCGGATAAGGCACTTGTCACCTGCACGGCCACCCCCATCGGAAACTCATCCCACTGGCCTTTCTCCATTGACTCCTGCTCTGTCGATCAATCTCCGGTCCGCCACAGTTTGCGACAACGTCTCTCTCCATCTCAACGCAACCCCGCAGCCATTCCCAATCGCTTCAAGCAGTTGCCTTATTGAGGAATCCTTTTGTTATTACATCTTGCCTCCTTCGGAATTTACGCAGCTGGGGGCTCAAGCTCACGTCATCCGTCTACTTGAACGCCTGCAACCGCACCATACGCTCGATGCTAACACCACCTTCCTGAATCGCGGCATAGTCGGAAGGGTCGCAATAAGACCACGCTCTCTGGACTGGCTTTGGAAAGAACGTTCGCCGCGATGACGAACGATACCGTACTCACCGACGACTATGTCGCCGAGCTCCTCTCAAAGGAAGCAAACGACTGCTCGCTGAAATACTCGAGCATGGGCATGGAGGCGTTCCGCTCCGACAAGAAGTACGTCCAACCAGCCCTCGACTGAACATACGCATGGTCCTAACCCCCGACAGACCGGCAAACATGCCCAAGCCAAACACCCGCTTCCTGCGGCACATCATCAAGGACACCAACACGCACAACAAGAACCTCCTTGCCAAAGAGGCTGCCGAGTCGCAAGCACGGCTGAAGAGCCTGGAGCACGCCGAGGAAAAGGAGCGACGGAAGCGCGCTGGCCCGCAGGATATCCGCAAGCGACAGATGGGCGACATCAAGGCGATCCTCGGCGGGCACAAGGAGAGACCTGCGCGGGCGGACGAGCGGTCGCATAAGAAGGACGGCTCGCCGCCGCGCAGACGGCACAGAGACAGGAGGAGCGAGTCGCCCGAGCGTGGGGGCAGGAGGCATCACCGCAGCAGGGACGAGTCGGACTCTGAGCGCGAGGAACGCCGGAGGCATAAGAGCAGCCGGCGGAGGTCGCGCTCGCCTGACGACAAGTCTAGGAGGCATCGTCACAGGTCGCCCCTCGGCAGCGGCAAGGGCAAAGATGGAGACGGCGAGGATCTGATGTCGGCAATCCACCGGACGAGGAGAGAACGAAGCAGGGAGCGGACGGGGTTCTCGATCAAAGGTAGTAGCCGGCGCGCTGCGCAGAGACAGGACTCCGCCGCTGCGTCGGACTCGGATCCGCTCGACGAGTTCATCGGCCCCGCACCGCCTGAGCCTGTACGATCACGCGGCCGCGGCGCGGCGTCAGCGCTGTCCGGCATCGACAAGCGCTTCGAAGCGGACTACGACCCGAAGATGGACGTGGAGATGGAGGATACTGCCGGCGCCGGCGCGGAGAACTGGGACGACGCCGTGGAGGTCTTTAGGGACAGGCAGAAGTGGCGGCAGAACCAGGAGCAGCGGATGCGGGCGGCGGGGTACGGCGAGGACATGATCAAGAAGTGGCGGACGGGCGAGCAGAAGGACGAGAGGGACGTGCAGTGGGCCAAGGCCGGGGAGAAGAGGGAGTGGGATCGCGGCAAGGAGGGCGGGATGAGCGGGCTGTTTTCCGAGTTTAACTGACGGGAACACCATTTGGTTGGCCGCTCTAGTGACAGGGGATGGGATTGTACTTCTGCTATGGCGTGGTGTTGGCGGGGCGCATGTTTGGTTACATCATGACAGGGCGGCATTTCTTGCATATCGGATCGGCCTCAGGTTGCAATGATTCTTTTGTTTGTGATTAATGATTTTTTGGTAATTGAAAAAGGCATTTAGCGATATGGAGTTTGGGATGGTGTTCTCACTGTGGGCGTGGCTCTGCTTGAGATAGGCTTAGTTCCAGGACTGATTGAATCTGTGAGAAGAGGACATTTCCCACGATATCGAAGAATCGCTGGACTCCATAGAGTTTTGGCGTTGTTTGTGAGCGGCCGTGGGTGACATTGATAAATATACCACATGTCCAGAAAGGTGATTCTCCTTCCGGATCTTTCAAGATTACTGCAGCCCAATTTCAACTCGAATTATAATATCACAAAGAACGACAACAGCTACCCGCACGATCTCGCCTGAGCACGTGAGAACATCAGAATACTCTCATCATCGGCGCCGGCCCAATTTCGAAGAGCCATACCTCAGACACCTGAGAGATGGAAACCCGATTCCTGTCATGGCGAGACTGGTGTATTCCGGGATTAAGTAGACACGCAAGACTGGAGAGCACCCATTCTCCTGGCTTTGATGAACTTTGTTGCGGGACAAGATCCACCCTGCATTGGATGTGACGAGGCTGCCCGCGTTGTAGACGATGAGAGAGAAGCCAAGACCTGACTGTGACTACATACTCTGGGGACACAGGCGGCGGAAGAAGACAATGAGGGCTGACAGATACCAGTAGCAGAGATACATCACTTGGACGATGGGCCAATGAGAACGCCTGAAGCAAGAGGAATGCTCTCCACAAGTGTATCTCGCAACTTCAGCGAGGCTTCGTCCGAAGATGCGGTTAGATCGACGCATGCCGAAATTGAAAACTTGAGATGAGGCTGAAGGTCGGAGTCTACTGGCATCGTCTGCGGCTACTTGGAGTTTGGCACGTGTAGTCGCGAGAACCGCCTCCGCAGGCCAATTGGAATGGATGATACGTCCAGAGGAGATGTCACTGGTCACAAGCCGCAGACGGCAGGCTGGGAGAGTACATGAATGCCTGCAAACGGCGCATGCCTGTCTCTTGTTTCACGAACAAACGTCAAAGGAGGGGTGGTCGCAAATCATACGCGCTTTCTTCGCTCCTTGGGAGTGGGAGGGGGTTTGATGTGAAACAAAATAGGGTAGCTCTCTTGAGGTGCAGGCAGGGGTTCTGGTCTCTCTGGGACCCCGCTAGGCTGTTGTTGGATGCGACGAGGACGGGGATGGCTGCTTTGTGGGCTGCTCAGGTACGGAGGCTGGTTGCGGACGTCAGGAATGCTTATGGGTTAGATATTGGGCAAGCCCCAGGTTCCAGGCGGGTACTGCCTCGGGATGGTGTTGCTGATTTAGTACGTGGGGGAAGGCTAGGTTGATGCAGCGTTCTTTTACAGGTCGAGGAATGGGAGGTTCTTGAGAATTCTTTTGGGATATCGGATTGGAGCAGGGCGTAGGGGGGTAGTGACCTTCGGCATCAATGGATTTTGGGTTGTTCCTTGTTTCATGACTTGCAGAACGTCGTCGAAAGGAGGCTGAGCGTGCGAGGCTCTGTGTGGCTTGGGATCGTTCATGCCAAATCTGTCGTAGAGCTAACAAAATCGCACGCAGTTGACGAGGCTGTAGATGCGATGTGGAAGGGACTGCGCCGGGGGCGAATTGAGTTTTCGGTGGTGTCGGAGCGCGAGTAGTGAGGGGGACTATCGCAACGTTGGGGGATTGGTGGTGAGACGCTATGATAGTCGACGTGTCGCGTGCGGTGGGATTGTTGGAGGGTTTTGGGTACCTAGTGGACACGTGAGACGGGGGAACGATTGTTGTCGTTGAAGCTTATCCTCGGAGTAGTATCGAGAGGGAACTGGGCATGCGACTCATGCATGCACTTTACACACGGCTGTTGCGGGCGGGAGGTTGCAGATGTGCATCTGGTAGATGGCTTCAATGTTGGCTACTTTGGGATGCAGGTGATCGCGGGTTAGTTTCCGCCGTAGATATTTAGCCCAAGATACATCTGGAAAGAGACTTCATTTCAATGGATCTAGACCATGTCGAGCCGTAAGCAGAGGTATGGTGACTGACTGACTGCCTGGGTAGCACACACACACACACACACACACTGGCGGAGTGAAACTTTTTGGTCACGAGGGGTTGTCCATGCGCCCGCGTCGATGTGAGGTCATTGATAGCGCGGTTGGTGTTTTTGCCCCCTGGAGGCAGAGAAGGAAAGGTTGGAGAAAGGTCGCTCAGCCTCAGCACCCTGCCTTGAGGACGCAGTATAGGGACACAGATTCGTCACCTTCATTTCCCGTCTGTCAGACAGTGAGATGCACGTCTTCGTACAAACCGTATTTTATACGCACAAAGGCTGGAAAATGCCATGAATGGATACGAGTACAAGATGGACATCAGATATGGTGAAACAAAGAGCAGAAGCCGTCGGCACTGGCGCTTGTAAACAGGCCTCTCGTCCAGTCACCCGCCCGGTTCATTTCGATTGTGGCGGCCGGCGTCAAGTCTGACAGGACCGGCACCCACACACCTCCGGCCGCGACTGAATCTCTCACGGCGCCCTGAATGGTGAAGCATTCGAGGTGGGGAATCGGGGGGTTGTTTGGCGGAAGCGTGGGCATCGCATCTCATCCCGCGGAGACCTCACTCTGTCTACTAACTGCTCACTCCTGGACTCGACCTTTTCATACACGCGCCGGCCCACTGCAGACCAGAAAACAAGACCTCCCAAGACTTGGATACGCTCTGAACAATACCAAGACGGCACCGGTGGCCCAGCCGAGCCAACATTGGGGGCGACGGTGCTGTTGCCTTACGGCCAAGTGCGACTTGAACGTGCCGCCAAAGCCGGTCGAGGGACGGCTTGCCCCTGCTATCCTGACACTGACTATTGGGTGCGTCTGTTGGCCGGTGCTTGCTCCCATTGAATTTGTGTCTGCCGTACCTTGCCTGCATTCGTCGGGAGGGAGATCTTTTTCGGGGTTGCGACCAGGATGGCAGGAAACGAGAAAAGTCAAAAGTGCCCCTGTGTCGTGAGTGAAAAATCTGTCAGTCAGTGACGGTGACGGTTGCGGGCCCTTATTCATGGCCGCTGTTCATGAGTCCTGCTTGGGTTGATGCATGGTGAGCTGGTGAGCTCATTGCCCACCTGCCGAGCAATTCGAATGCCGGTCAAAACCGAGAATGGCTTTATTGGAATGGACTGGAATGCTGGATCGAATTGGATGGTGCCATCCGCAGACGGAGAGGAGGAAACAGCGCACGAGGGACGGGCCAGTGACAGCCAGAAGAACAATAGAGGGTCCGCGTCCTCCAGCCACAGTCCAGTGTATGTACCACCCCCGAGACCTCACCTCTCCCGATGCGCCCACCGACGCCATGCCGACCTCAGCCAGACAGGGCCCCTAAACCCCCGAGGCGACTCCACCCATGCCTAAAGTGCAGCGTAAGGTACCTGGCCTGCCGTGAGGTGCCCCCCGCCCGGCCGTCATTGTGTGGTCCAGGTGGTGTGCGTGTGTGTCACTGTGCTGGGCCAACTGTAGGAAAAGTGACTTCCCTCACCTCCACCACGTCCTCCACAGCTGCCCTCGGGCAGTCACAGCACCAAAAAGACACAAGGCCCCGGCACCTAAACAACAACACTGCCCCGCCACCCGCTGCTGCTGCGACCTCACACTCGCCCTCCCGTCTCCACTCGTCACCCGAGTTCTTGTCCCTGCTTCCTTCACCTCGCTGCCGTCCGTCTGCTGCTGCGTCTGCCTCCGGTTCCTGTCTCTGCATGGCGCCGCTGCACCGCTCCGCGCTGCGTGCATCTTGCGAACACACCTTCTGACTTCTTTTTGCCTTTGCAAATATCTTGATCGACATCTTCGTCATCACCATTTTTTCCCGCCCCCAACTTCTACGCCCAGTCTTCTTTTCGTCTCCTTTACCCTCTCTCCTTCCTTGATCCGACCCTTCCCGGCGACCACAGAAGGCCGCATCCGCCTTTGTCATCCAACCTCGAGCGAGACAGTCTTTCCCCTCCTTCCATCGCCTTCAGCCTCGTCATCGTCACCACAACCGGCGGCTTCCCATCGCACATGATTCCGCGCATGATCGGCACCTGTGCAGTCCGCCGCTGAGCCACTGCCAGCAGCTGCTCGACCGTCGACGACCTCAACCCTCGTTCCTGCCTACCGCAACCACATTCGACTGCACGATTTACCGGACGGCCCTCGCGCCGTGCTTCGAACCCCCCGTTGCCTTATCTCCTCGACACACGATCAGGAGCTTCGACCTCTCCTTTCCTTGTTTTACACACTATAACGACCCGTTACGATACCAATCATGCGTACTCCGAGAATCGCCATCCTGGTCCTCTTTTTCGCCGCCTCCCTCTTCCTCTTCTGCCGCTCCGTCACATCGCTGGCGCGATCCAACACCGTCATCGCCCCGGCCGCTGTCCCGCAATCACGATTTACGACATTCTTCTCCTTCACAGCGCCTTTCTCAATCTTTACGCCGAATGCCGCCATCAGCTTGACCGACGACAACAGCACCTCCTTTGTCGCCCGCCCTGCCGCCTTCGGTCCGAACCTTCCCTCCAAGGGCCTGAGTGGCCAGCTATGGATCGGCAGCGGCTTCGCCGACGATAACCTCCAGGAAGGCGAGGGCGAAGGCGAGCTCGGCTGCAGCGATATTCCCGGCTGGGAGGACGGCAAGTCCAATGCCATCCTCAAGTCTGCCGCCAAGGGCATCTCGAAGGCCGACGCGAAGGCTGCCACTGCTGCTGGCAAGCCGAGCCACCACAAGCGGGATACCGCCGCCAAGGATGTCGTCCCCGATGATACCGTGCCCCCACCCGGAGCGCGGTTGAAGTCCAAGATCCGCCCCCTCGACGACGGCACCGATGACTACCTCCACCAGGGCCTCGCCAGAAAGCCCCCGCCGAACCACGATAGCGCTCTGTCCACCGAGTCGACCCACGCCGATATCCAGTCGATACAAGAGGCGGCGGAGATCGCCGGGAAGATTGTGCTGCTCAGCCGTGGCGGCTGCGGGTTCCTGGAGAAGGTCAAGTGGGCGCAGCGCCGCGGTGCTATTGCGCTCATCGTCGGCGACAACCAAAAAGGCGGTCCGCTGATCCAGATGTTCGCCAGAGGCGACACCTCCAACGTCTCCATTCCCTCCGTTTTCACCGCACGGACTACAGCCCACCTGTTGTCCTCTCTCACCCAGCCGGGCAGCTTCATCGAGGACACCATCGACGAGCACGGCCGCCCTGCCTTGAAGGTCCTGAAGTCCGACGGCACGAACCGGAAGAACAGGAAGACCAAGCAGAAGGCCGCTGCGGCGACCCCCACGCCCACGCCCAAGTCGACAGCCCCTCCCAAGGTCAAGGCACCGAAGAAGCAAGCCTCCACCAAGGCCGAGGAAGCCAAGCCCCGCGTTGGATGGTTCAGGTGGTTCTTCAGCTGGGGCCGCAGCTCTGCAACCGGGGACGGCAGCATTCAACCTCCGAGCAGCGGCCGCCACAACTGGGTTCTCGTTGACGACTGGAACGAGGAGAAGGATAGAGCCATTCGTGATGGTCTTGGAAAGGCTGCCAAGCGGGGCAAAAGCAAGGTCGCTGAGTCCCGTAAGAACGAAGACAGCTTCCAGATCGGCGTTCAAGACTGGCGCGACCCAGATCTGGTGGACGCTCCAGGGACCCAGGACAAGGAGGATGCTTCCAAGGAGCAGGCCGGCAAGAAGTCAAACGCGAAGAATGGAAAGGATGTCAGCGGTCCCAAGGGCGGAAGCATCACACCAGGCAGCGGCGAGTACAACCCTGACATGCCCCCTGTTGAAGCCAAGGGCTCTTCGTCTAGCAAGGACTCTTCCTCCCACGGAGGCCTGATGTCCAAGATCTTTGGAGACGACGATGGCGCCGATTTCTCCAAGGAGGAGAAAGCCAAGGATTCTCCCAAGGTCGAGGACCCCATCCCTGATGACGACGAACCAGTTGGTCATGATGGCCTCTGGGTCACGATTACTCCGTCAAGCAGCTCAAGCCCCTTCTTCGACACCCTCCTGGTGCTTGTCATCAGCCCTCTGATTACTCTCAGCGTCGTCTATGCCCTTCTCATCCTCCGCGCTCGTATCCGTAGAAGACGCTGGAGGGCACCCAAGTCTGTCGTCGAGCGTCTGCCCGTGCGAACCTACCACACCGTCGCGGCGTCGCCCGTCCCCTCGCCTAGGATGCCTTCGCCCACCAGCGCCACACCCACCACGCCTCTGCTTCAGCAGACTCCGACCAGGCCCCGGCCCCGTTCTAGAACGACGACAGGCATTCCTGAGTCGGAGAGTCTGTTATCCGTCAACTCGGCCCTGCAAATGCCTAGATCTCCCGCGAGGCCAGAGCATGAAAAGGCCAACGGCAGCTACTCGAGCGAATGGAAGAAGTACATGGGTCGTCAGGTCGAGTGTGTGGTCTGTTTGGAGGAGTACGTCGATGGTGTCAGCCGCGTGATGAGCCTCCCCTGTGGCCACGAGTTTCACGCGGAGTGCATGTGAGTATCTCTAATCTTCCGTCCTTGGTCTGTGCTAACCTCTGTCAGTACACCTTGGTTGACGACACGCCGCCGCACGTGCCCGATCTGCAAGGGTGACGTCGTGCGCTCGCTCGCCAGAGGTTCCCCCTCGAGTCCCCGTTACGAAGCCTACCATGACGACTCCGATGACGAAGTAGAAGCCGAAGGCTCTGGCTCGCGGGACAGAGACGAGGATGTCGAGCAGGGTATCCTTTCACCCGCACCCAGAGGACGCCAAAATAGACCGGAGGGGTGGCTAAACATGCTCTCGAACTCGTTCGGCTCGTCATCTCGCTCCAGCCAACCACCCCAAGAGGACCGCAACAGGTAGCTCTCTCACCACAAACTCTACTCATGAACATTTGCGATTTGGTATTTGACTCTTTTGCTGCACATGTTGCGGGTCTCGAAAGCATGGCCGCGACTCATGGAGAAATGGGGGTATACGGCGTAATCAGGGTTGACGGCATTTCTGGGACACAGGTGTCACGTTTGGGCTGGGTTGCATCGGGAATCGGGCGAAGCGGCCCTTCTCTCTGCCTCTGTGTTTCTCGTTTGGGTGTTCTGGGATGGGCGAAAACACACTACACTCGCTTGAATGCGCTGTTTTCTGTTCTTTTGGTTTTTGATTCACCTGGGTGTGTTGCTGCTGGGATGGGGAGAAGTGCCGGGAGGTAGTGTCTTATTATACCCGTTGTCTGTAGGAGAAGACGCACACATTTGTTGGAAAACGAAGTTGACCGTCCGTGACTGTACTGTACAAGTGAAATTCTGGCTCGAAATTCTGGCTCCTGCTGTTCTGTTTCGCTACGAACCGCACTATCGGCCGTTCTTCACAAACATGTACGAAAGAAAAGGATACGACCACCATCATATAGAAAACATGAAGAGTTGATTCAGAGAACAAGCTAACATGCTACCCTAGCCTCTCAGCAGCCCTGAGCCGCGATGTCCGTCGACAGAATCCAGAATCACTTCCGGCCTGCATCATCTTTGCTCGCACCCTCTTCTTCCTTTCTGCGTTTCTTCCTCCCGTTCAGACTGCTTCTCCAGCTTTCTTTTCTCCACCGCTGTCACTTGTTCCGATTTTCAGAGGGTGGTAGGGTCCAAAGGCGTCGTCGTCGAAGGTCTTGATCAGCCACTCCTCAAGCTCATCATTGTCCTTAACCATCCACATGCAAGGGAACCATCCCTCGAGCGCATTCAGGTGGTACGCGTCTTTGAAGATGGTGTAGGGGTGCGGCGGGTGGGGGAAATCATCGTATTTCCCCTGTGGCTTCTTACTCTTGCAGTCGACCAACGAGTCGCGGTAGTGGATCATCGCGACGCGGGCCCGGCCGTGCGCGGCCGGGGCGACGAGGATGTGGTTGGGGCTGATTTCCTCTTCTTGGTAGACCCCCGCGAAGAGCTGGCGGACGAAGCCGTCCATGAATGTCTTGAGCATGTCCAGCCGGCTGGCGGGGCTCATGTCCAGCTGGCCGAAGGCGTTGCGGGGGGCGTCGTGATACCGCGGCGTGAGGGCGCCTTCGGGGCCTTGTCTGTCGCAGAGGGAGGATATGGAGACGCCGTCGATGTGCTCGAGGAGGATGACGCCGACGCTGCGGGGGAGGAACGGTTCGTCCCCGATGAGAGCCGGGTTGGTGGTGCGGATCTCGGCGGTGAAGGCGCCGAAGTACGCCGGCGCGAGGTGCGGGTCGCCGTGGCAGCTTTTCTCGCGCAGCTGCTCGTACGCTCCGGCCTCGCGGCTTAGGTTGAAGTTGGCGCGGTCGAACTCGTTGAAGAAGGGTTGGTCGGGCGGGGGGCTGGCCTGGAAGAACATCGGGTCTTGGAACTTTGCGACGACGCGCTGGGGCATGCCGAAGGCGCGGGCGCCTTGCGTGACTTCGCAAAGGAACACCGCTGGGCCTGACCAGGGCCCGCCTGAGAGGAACTTCACCAGCTTGAGGGAGACCGAAGCTTGGGGCTCGGTTGGGTGTTCGGAGTAGTCCCTTTCGAAGGGAGGGGGCAGGCCGGCGGCTCTGCGCTGTTTCTCGGTCATGGACGTGTACGGGGTCGGCCGATGGTGGAGGGCGTGTTCGGAGCGCGATCGCTCCAGGAACCGCTCCTTGTAACCCCAGTCGGAGGGGTTGACGTTCGCCGGGGTCGCGTAGGCGGCATAGCCGTACGGGTTGGCGGGCTTGTGGGGCACGAGGACGATGGAGGTTCCGGGCTTGTAGGCCTGTTGCCAGTCCTCTTCGATGTAGTCGTCAATGAACTCCACGCTGGTCTCGATCTGTGGCGGCAACGGGGTCGGATCGTCGCGGTCTTCGGGGCGTGCTACGTGTACGATGATGTCGGTTTCGGGGTCCCATGGCGAGATAAGCTTTTTGGTGAAAGAGTCGATCGAGTATACAGAATCATCATCATCCGCATCATCGTCAGGCGGCGGACCGAAGTACTTGTCCATACGTTCTTGATGGCGTCGATCATACTCTTCCATGCGCTTCTCATAGTCTGCGTCTTCATCCGAGACTTTGGAGGATTGGTTCTCGCGACTCGGTTCGGTTGGGTTCTCGGGCATCTCTTCTAGGGTCGTGGGCGGCAGGGGCTGCTCAGCTTCATCGCCGCCAGACGCAGATGCGGCGCTCGTGATGGTCTCGCTGGTCACGCTGGCCGCGTCAGCACCCGACTCGGTCTCACCGCTCATCACGGCTGCGACGCTCATCATGTTGTCGCCGCACTGGGCATGACTGGACGTGGGTCCGGGCGGCGGGTTGTGACGAGGATCCATGCTCACAAAGGACTGTGGTGGTTGGGAGAATGTAGAAGTGTTGGTGATGTGTAGTGTGTCGGGTGGTTGGAGAGAAAGTGCGATGCCGTCCAGGAGGGAAGAACGGGAAGAAATGGATTTTGTAGGTGGCGAGGTGGGAGAAGGAGAAAACTTTTGGCCCCCCAAGGTGGTTCACAAAGGTTTACTCATGAGCGGAAAACCCAAACAGCGCGTTTGGTTATGTAAGAACGGGATGGCAAGAAAGAAGAGACCCTGGTGGTGAAAGCGAAAGCGGCTTGATTTGTGTGAGATATGAAATCTAGTCCAGTTGCTGCAGAAGTACCGTTCTTTCCTTGGGTAAGACTACTAGGTTTATGCTGCTAGCCTGAACCAACGCACAAAACATTTTCAATACAATGTGAGGCATCGATAAAAGTGAAGAAGAATGATAAGACAGCCTCTAAATACGAAAAAGTGATGGCCTCCGTTTCGCAAACCACTGCCTCCTCACATCAAGATGTCAACCATTAGCTCCAAGCGAAGGCCCTGCCAGCGCCGATAGTCCGTACGGAAGGTCCCTTGACCGAGCATGCCACGCCATCATTTCCGCTCCTTATCAATGGAAAGAGACCACCTGTCTTGACTATGTTATTATACATTGATTTCTCGTGGACTCTGTGACCATGCCCACTGCCGTCTCCCTCTGTCATTGTCTGTCACCGCCCCTGTCGTCTCTGTCTTCGCCGTCGTTCCTCTGTTATTCGTCTGGACCAGGGGGCTATGCTTCGCGGCTAGATTAGGTACTTATGCAGCAATTCTTGAACCACGTGAAATCGAGGGATGCAGGCCACCACGCCAGCCTCGTCATTAGCCCGTCGAGCGTCGAGGCATGCGGCATGCTGAGCAACACTCGTTAGACGGGCTTACCCTACAAGCTGGCAATTCATATTCGGCACTTTGACTCTTCTTCTTCCAGACTTTCTGCCTTCATCTTCCGGATCTTCCCCCTCTTCTCCATCTCCTTGAGCAAAGTCTATTCAACGGCTCATCTAACGCGTATACAACCGCTCTAAAAAAGACTAAGCAAGTTTAAAAAAAGAACATACAACACCGGGCATTCGCCGGTCGTCACCGACCCGACTACTACTCCAGCCCTCATTAGCTTATCTATGGGAGAGCGGACGGGATCCCGAGTTTTCCAATGGGTATGGTCGTATGTGACTGTCGACGGTTCCTAGACTGAATATGGAGGCTTGACAGTGTTCACAGACAGTTTCCAGCCAGAGTCGGGTATGATCTTGCTAGGCTGATACGGGCCCCATTTGTCATCATTGAAGGATTCAATGAGCCACATGTCCATATCAATGCCCTTCCAGTTCATCGGGAACCAGCCTGTCAAAGCGCGCAGCTTCTGACAGCTGAACTTGGTGAAAGGATGGGGTGGGTGCTCATAGTCCTCGTACATCTTGAGCGGCTTCTTGTGCTTCGAGTCGATCAGCGAGTCTCGATAATGAATGAGCGCGACTCGAGGCTCATTCTTCTTCTCCGTAGGCGCAATAAGTATATGCTCAGGCTCAATACGACGTTGCTCAACGCCTGCAAACAATTGGCGGACGTAGCCGTCAAGAAAAATCTTCAGCACCTCCAAACGCGTCTTTTCATCCATCTGCAGCGTATGTGTGCCGTTACTGTACCATCTGGCTGGGGATGTGGGAGGCCGTAAGACGCCGGCGTCATTGACGGCACACATTGCTGACATGCTTATGCCCTGGATGTGTTCCATGACGAGAGCGGGAACCTCACGTGTACCGCTCTCGCCGACAGTCGGGTTGATCTTGGGCACCTTCAGGATGTAGGCACCGTAGAACTTTGGGGCGAGGCGCTTGTCGCCAATATGAGGGCTTTTGTCGAGGAAGTCGAGTGTGGCGGCTTCGCAACAGACATGTATGTCGGCCCTTGAAGTCTCTCTCCAGGGTGTTCCGTCATTGTTGGTGTCGACATTGTAGCCCAGGGGGTCGCAGATCTTCACAACAACGCACCCTGGAAAGCCCTCTGAGGGTTCCTCTACGTTGCAAACGAGCACCTGGGGACCGGGTGTCTCGCCACCCGCGAGCATGTCTCGAATTTTGACGACGAGCTTCGTGGGCTCACTGCGTGGGGTCGTTGTGATCTTCCTGGTCGGTTTCCAATCGTAGACCTCTCGAGTCAATGAGCCTTCTTCCTGGAGGTAACACATGCTTTTGGTAACGATGGCGGGCTCAATCTCGTTGTTGTTAGGCCACGGATAGGCCTCGACACCATAGGGTTCGCATGGATCATAGGGCTCCAGATAGAGAGTGTTTCCCGGGTCGTAATACTCGAACTCGGCGTCAATGTCGTCGTCAGTGCCAGAATCCAAGTCGTCGTCGTCGTCGTCGCCGCCCGGGTTTGGTTCCATTTTTTCGAGCTCTACTGGAAGACGCCCCGCCTCCCTGAGGAAATCGTGTGCCTCCATGAGCCCTCCTCCTCCTCTTCTTCCGCCCCAAGCGAGCTCTGGGTAGTAATCGTGGTCCATGGGGAGGCCCGTCACAGGACGTGATGTGTCGTGGGGTTCGGGTTCGAGTACGTTTGTTAACAGGTGTGATTCGATGAAGTCTTTCGACTCGTCCGTTTTCAATTGATTGTCTTCGGGAGGTGACTGTGAGCTTCGGCCCTGCGATGAGTTGCCTAGGTCCATTTGGGCGCAGACTCGCAATTCTTGGGACCTTGTCGTGGAGAGACCGGATGATGCTCGGGAGACCTACGGCCCGGGTAAGTAAACATTGAGGAACGTAGATCTGACGAGAAAACATTATTCAAAATTGTGTCAATACAATCTCAGAATCAAACATGTAGGTGTCGAGGTCCAAGAGGTGTCGTTGGCGGGGCGTCATATTATTGGTCAGATTGGGCGCTGTGGAGACGATACATTGAGTAACCTCGAAGGCTGCGTCCTATTTCCAAGCAAAACTTTTCCCAGCACACCATTTTGGACAGATTGCCTGCTGAATGGGAGAATAAGTGAGTATTCGGAAGATCTACATGGGATATGGAGACAGTTTACGCTGGTCTTCAGGCCTTTCTCTGCGCGGTTAAGAAAACCTCGCGGTTCAAACGAAACTATTTCTCCTTTGTAGTACTGAACTATACCGGTTAAAAAGACTAGAGGAAACGATGACAACCAACTATCAAAACGGGCACATCCATCAGGGTTCAGTCCATTAATGAGGGGCATTCTGTTGTCTGGAGAATGGGTGAGTAGGTTGTGGCTGTGTTGGAGAGCAATGGAGATGTGTTTGATGAACACATCAATTGAGCGACTTGATGGCAGACCAACGTAAATGGATAGAAATGTCCGTGCGTGCACCAACGATATTCAGGGACTGTCGGGAGTCAATAAAGGCGACATGAACAATAAAGGGGCCCTCAGATGAGGGACACAACCCCAGTAAACTGGATTGATGCTTCAGTGATACTGTAAATCTAGCTGTCAAGTGTTTGAACGGATCAGACGTGCTGACACACGGAGTTGGCTGCGACTCACTGTGGCACCACAACCCTGCTGTGTCATGACGGATGCAACAGAGGGACATGTAGGTGACGTTTGTTTGGTGCTCCACCGCATCACTGGTCCTACGCCGCCTGAAGCCGGTCCAAGCTCAAAGCTACCACCTTTGGCCTACGCCTTGACCAAGAGGTCCAATGGGATGCTAAGTACGATAACGAGCATGAAACAAGTAGAAGTCAAGGGCATCCGGATCATGTGTCCTTATTCGACACTAGATTCAGCCCAAGAAAGAGCTACGGGTTGCCATGGGAAGCGCAACAGGGGCGACGACTCCAAGCGTTTGGCGTTGCTGGCTTCCGGACATCCAGCTCCTTGAACCGCTAGGTATGATTTGCCTTCTTAAAGGTGAGGACCGGCCGCCACACTCCCCAGAAATGATTGGTTTGGCGCAGTCGCCGAGTTAAAGCTTTGACTGCTCGCCAACGTGATGGTACGTGCTGCTCATGAGCCCAGATGATAGTAGTAAATGGGCGAATTCATCCCAAAAGGTTGGGTACACCATCAGGATACGTGTACCCTCGCGTGTGCAAGCTTGCAATTTTACCTTCAAAAAGCTTTGACACAGGGGGTCAAAAAGAATTCTTCTTCTCATTGTCCCTTTTTTCGTTGTGTGGTCTTTGGGGAATGACCTGCAAGAAGGTGAACGCGCCGCTGAAAAATCATTTTTCACCCTGAGAAATCTAACGGCTGCCTGCATGACTGCAGTCTCCTCTTTCGAAGAGCGTCAACAAAACCGTCTCGCCAGACTGCCCAATCAGACAAAGAATTTTTTTTTTCATACGCGGAAAGCTTTGACACACGCCTTGTGTCTGAATAGAAAGCTTCACCTCTTTCCTTGCAGCTTCTGGCGGCCTCGCGCTTGTGCCCTTCTCAGCTACGCGCGGCTCGATCGTAGTGTACGTCCATTGAAGACCCCTGACTTTTCCATCTTCATCTTTTGCATTCTCTGCAGAGGTGCTGTTGCCTTTCTGACTGACCGAGGCAGAATCTTCATTACCTTAATTCCGGCAATCAGATAGCTTGCTTCGAGCTCGCGACTTCCTTTCCGCGTCCGCACCAGCTACGAAACCGACTCTGAATTCGCAACGTCCCCAAAGCTGAGGAGCCAATCGCGTCGCAAGTCATCTACTTGAAATCACTCCTCGAGATCGGATTTGACGCTGACACTTTTGAAACTTGCAGAGTTCTTTCCTATTTCTCTACTTCTTTTCGGCTGTCACTATCGACATCACGTTGACGACGAGTCGCTACATCGTGACTCATCATGGAAGCTCGTGACCCAGAAGATGACCATGGTCGCATGGATGACGACAAAGGATTGACTGGCCAGGAAGCACCGCCTACGACCGACGAGCCAGCGCGCACATCCAGGGACATGGCACGCTTGGCGGAAGACATGGCCGGAGTTGGAATCCGCGACGCACAGGAAGAGCAG